CCAACACCACTCTTCATTTTCTATAAAATTCACATCTCTACTAAAGATTATATTTTCATTTTGTGATTGGAAGACTTTATATGCCTTTCAAACTGAACTATATCCAATAAAAATGCATGGGACAGATTTTTTATCTAATTTATCTCGTTTAACCTAAGGAATGTAGGAAAAACAGAGACAACCAAACACTTTAAGAAAATTTAACGATGGTTTAAATCCATACCAAGCTTCAAATGGAGTTCGGTCTTTCACTGCCTTTATTGGAAGCCTATTTTGAAGAAAAACTGATGTATTTGCTGCCTCTGCCCAAAATTTCTTTGGCAAGTTCTTCTCGTGCAACATGCATCTGGTCATCTCCATAATGTATTTGTTTCTTCTCTCGCTTACTCCATTTTTTTGTGGAGTATAGGAAGTAGCAAGTTGATGATGAATCCCTGCTTCTTCACATAACATGTCGAAATTGTAAGAAGTGTATTCCTTTCCATTACTTGTTCTTATGGACTGAATTTTACAGTTGGTTTCATTTTCTACTTTTGCTTTGAACTTCTGAAAAACATTAGAAGCCTCTGACTTATGCTTGAGAAAATAAATCCAGCACATGCGGATTAGATCATCTACAAAAATGATATAGTAAAGACTACCTTTTTAGTGAAGGAGTCCTTTGTGGTCCTGCTATATCAGTATGAATTAGTTGCAATTTGTTCGAGGCTCTCCAAGTTGTCTTTGAAAATGGAAGTTTGTTTTGTTTTCCATATTGACACACAAGACAATTTGAAGAGTGCACTTCTAAAACAGGCAAGTCCTTAACTATTTTCATTTTTTGCATCTTAACCAACCCTTCATAATGATAGTGTCCGAGTCTCTTGTGCCATACTTCTGCAACACTTTCTTTTGCTGAAAAAACAACATGCTCCTCCTCAAATGGATATAATGAGAAACTTTTACCTCTCATTGTTGCTTTAAACATTTCTTGATCTGAAGCATCCTTGATCAAACAATGATTATCTTCAAAATTTAACTTGTAGACTTTTCCATCATTTGACCAACACTAAGCAAGTGTTGATCTATGTCAGGTAGATAAAGCACAACAGAAAATGTTTTAGCACCTGAATTACTTGGAATAGCAATGGTTCCTTTCCCTCTTACAGGAAGATGTTCGACATTACCTATTCTGACTTTAGTAATGGTCGTGGGCTTCAATTCCTTGAAGAGATGCATGTCATTTGTCATATGATTAGTGCATCCACTATCAATCAGCCAACACTCACTAGATGATCTACTTGAAAAACATGTAGTAACAAAGAGTTGATCTTCCTTCTCACCCTTAACAATTTGAGCCTCTGCCTCTTGTTGCTGACTATTGTTCTTGCAAATTACAGCTCCATGCCCAAGTTGATTGCACTTACTACATTTAGCACCTGGCCGTCTCCAACATTTCTATGGTGGATGAGCTTTCTTGTTACAATGCTTACAAGGAGGATAAATTTTCTTTGAGTGTCCAGTTTTTCCTTTGGTAGTACTTGTTGAAATGCCTTCACCATTCTTTTTTTTCGTTTTTGCCTCCATCTTGAGACTTGGAAAACAATGGTCCCTCTGTATTTTCTTCTTCTCTCATGACTCTTCGTTGTTCTTGTGCCTGCAAAGCATTCAATAACTCTGCGAAGGTGATCTTGGACAGATCCTTTCATGTTTTCCGAAGTAGTTATGGTTGCTTCAAAGTTACCAAAACCTTTTCAACAATATGTGAATCATCAAACACGGAACCAAGCAATCTTACTCTTTTTGTTGTGTTCAAGAGCCTTTCAGAGTAATCTTTGATGGTTTCAGTTTTCATCTTCTGCATCTCGAAATCTCTTATAAGATTTAGCACTTGCATACCTCTGAACCTTTCATCCCCTTCGTATTCTGCCTTGAGATAATCCCAGATGGCTTTTGCTGGCTTTAGAGACATAATTCGAGTGAAGATTGAAGAACATACTGCTGAAAATAAACAGGCAAGATGCGTTTGATTTTTTTATTTTCTTGTCTTGATGGTTTTTTATTTGGGCCATAATAGGATTGTTAGGCAACAGAGGAACTTCATAATCCTCTTCGACTGCCTCCCACATATCCATGGCATCTAGATATGTTTCCATCCTTACCGCCTAAATCTGATAGTTATCACCATTAAAAACAGGTGGTGTCATTACAGAAAAACTTGATTTTGCTTCTATGATTGATAAACTTGTCTTGTTGATTACATTAAAACACCCACGGATCCCTCAAGAAATAAATGCTCTGATACCAAATGTTAGTTTTTAGAGAAGGAAAAACATAACAATCTTATCTTCTTTTATTATTGAACAAGTAGGAACATTAGTTTGATAAACGAACAAAGAAAAATTTATGAAAAATAAAACTACTTACTTCATTATAACACAGATATTCATAGGAGTTTACAATTAAACCAACTTCTAAGGATAAGATTAAGAACCTAAGGATAAGGATAAGGATAAAATAGAATTTAACTACTAAACAGTAAATAACTACCCTACAATACAGACAATTTGGACTAATGCATTTCTTATGCATATTTCTAACAAGGAAGACTCCATCGAGTGATGGTGCTGGAAACATCGTATGGTTATTAAACTAACAAACTTGATATATATATATATATATATATATATATATATATACTAGTATATGGACACGTGCGTTGAACGTTTACTTCATAACGATGAATAAAATGATAAACAATTTAACTTTTAAAAAAATGTTTGTAATGTATAATTAACTTGAAGAATTTTTTTTAAAATTTAGTCCTACCTTTATTATAATTTTGATATAGAAATTATATATTTGTTTTAAAAGATAAAATAAAGTAGCAAAAACAAAAATGGAGGCACACTATCTTATGATTAACTTTCTTAAAATGTCTTTTTTGTCTCATAAAAATGTTGAAATTAAATTAATACTAATACATTTCAAGAAGATAAAATATTTGACATTAATTAGTAAAAGATGAAATTCTCCTTCTCATTTAGTAGAATGCAATTAAGTAATTAAAATTTATAAATAAAAAACTTATTAGAAGGAAATAACTAAGATTTGAAGTGCAATGATTGGTATTTAAGTTATGTAATTATACAAATAAAATATTAATATTTAATTAAATAAATCAGATTTTAATTTAATGGAGAGTCAAAATGACAATATTAGTATTCTTACAAAATATATTTTACATTTTTTTGTTAAAAAATTAATAGGAGCAATATTTGGTCAAAGGATAAAAGATCTTCTAACTTCTTAAGCATTTTGGTGTATCATTTTTTTGACTTTGGGATTTGGATCTCATGATAATTTTAATGAAAATTGTCGAAAAACTATAGATTTTATCCACAAGCACATGTAAGAATGATTCTTTACAAATATTTAAAATTTAAAATGCAAAAATATAATTATTAATAATTTGAAATTAGAATATTTTGTAAGCATTAATTGTTCTGCATGTCTTATACACTATTTTTATGATTGTATTTGTCTCATTTTCTAAAGCAAAAAATACATCCTTCAATAAAATATATTCTTAAAACAAAATTACAAATACAAAGAAAAAGTATCATATATAGGAGCAAGTTTAGCATAACGCAACCAACGAAAAATAGAAAAATGCTAAGACAATCTTTTTTCTGTTTTTTCTGGATAATGCAAATTGAAACAAAGTTATAGTAATAAACATTCAACTTTTGACCATAAAAAATTAAAATATTTGGAAGACAAGTTAATGAAAGTGATATTCAACTACATAAATGGAGGGGTCTTACCATAGTTCTGATCTCGATAAATAAGTAAAAATAAATAAATACATCAAACTTCGATATTTTAGTAATTAACATTCATTCCTATAATCACATTATGCCTTGTAATCTTGACACAAATCCTCTTGCCTTGAAATTTTCTTCACTTGATTAAAGATTCTCTAGTAATCCACACACAAAAATTGAATCACATGTAAATCTTTCTATAAAAATAATATTAAAAGATTGTATTTATAGGAAAAAATATAGCTTTGAAATATGAAGATTCACTTACAAAGTTGAAAGGTCAAGTGTTACAAAAATTAAAGACAAATATTAATTAAGAACATAAATTAATCTAGAAGATAAACCATATACATGTATCTATCTAAATGGTAAATATTTCAAGAAAATAAATTAAATTAGATATTTTAATTAAGAATTAATCTATAGAAGTGCAAAAGTTAATAAGATTTGTATTAAAATAATATAACATAATATTTAAATTAAATAATTAAATATTTTTATAACATTTTAATTTATAATAAGCGTAAAATCGTAATTCAACTTTTAACTTTTTTGATTCCCTCTTATAATAATATATGATATATATATATATATATATATATACCAACTCCATAGTAATAGCCCTCTTATTCCAGCTTCCATATATGTCTTTGAAAAGCAGTCCCGCACCCCTTTGTAAAATTGTTTACCAGTAGCAAGCCCTTGTATGTTCAACTTATTGGATCCAAATAACTAGACAATCATAAGCAAATTAGTGCAAGATTGCTCCTGAAAAATTATTCATTTTCTTAGGAATAACAAAATCCACTTCACAAGTAGTAAAATTCGATGAAGTTGCCAATCTCTGCTCTGATATTTGCTTTTAGAGATAGAGGAGAGAGTCAAGGTGTGTGATAAGGAAAAAGAAAACAAACCAATGAACATGTCCTCTTTATTCTCCTACCTGGTAAGCCAATTGAGCTCGAAGTAAATCAAGTGGATAGGCATAAATTTCAGCAGTTCCAGCAGCAAATGATCCTGCTATGAAATCTAGAAAGAGACCTTTCTCAATTCCAGGAACAGTATGTGTAATCAGCGGCAGTACTCCTCATCATAGGCCATGTAATGCAAAGAAGTATACAGGACAATGTGAGCAACACTAGCTCCGTTTCCCCTGGAAAAGAGTTCCACAAACATAACATACAAACTTAAAGATAAATAATACACCTCCTAGTCAGAGGCAGACCTACATTGATCCTTGAGGCAGTGGCGTAGCCACATAATTGGACACCCTTCGTTTAAAAAAATATCATATATATAAGTAAAATGATATACGAAATTATTAAATAACATATTTTGGACACCCTTAACATAACAAATTGCTATTTCTGGACACCCTTTGTTAAATTCCTGGCTCCACCACTGCCGTGAGGGTGCACCTGCACCCGGTAACGTTTCAAAATAAATAAATAAATAAATATATATATATATATATATATGCATGTATATGTATATGTATATGTATATGTATATGTATATGTACATGTACATATGTATATACATATATGTATATACATATACCTTAAGTAAGAATTATATAAGTAATTGTGCACTTCATTTAACAATACCTCACTTAAACGAGTTGGTTGGAGCTGCTACTATTGCCCAGCATGTTGTGGGTTCGAATCCAACGTAGACACCACTGTCTTTTCCTTTTTTTGCCTTCAATAACCAAAAAATCAAAAGATAGTGGCGCACCAGTAGTCTTCGAAACCTTGGTTCACCTCTGCTCCTAGTTCAATTGAGACAAGCTGTGGATCCATCACCTGAAAAGACCTAGAGCTCTTTCTGTCGTAGCACTTTTTTGTAAAGGATCCTGATAGCCCCAAGCTCCTAAATTAAACTTCTCATGCCTGCGTAGAAGAGAAATCAAAGATAAGGAATTTAATCGTCCCAGATTCTAAAGCCCCTCATACTAAGGGTTCACTATATTTTTCTACTTATTAGTAATTGAGTAACTACATTACAAAGGTTCCTGGACTAGATGCTCACCCCATCATTTGAGTAATATTCTACCAACACAATTATTAAGTTGAACTTCCAAAAAGGTGACAGCAGACAAATTTCATAATGCTAGAAGAACTTCCAACCATTAGATCCACTTGTAAATTTCTAAAAGTCAGTAAGGTTCTTCAAGCATCTCATTCTACCTTCAAGCTCGTCATAACCAGAGTTCATTTTTCCCCTGGATTAGAAAACTAGGTGGATCACAGAAACTTGAGGAAGAGACACACAAGTCATAAATCAAATGTTAACTTGCCGAATAAAATAGACCACTAAAAGAACATTGGATCAGTCCCTAAATACTCATTTGCACCAAAACCAATCAATATAACAGGTGGAGTGAGATTAAAAAAATTAAATAGTAATTAAATGTGGTTTAAAGATAAAAAAAGTTTATCTTAAAGACATATATCTTGCATTACTTTGGTGCTGATATGGGTGGACAAATATAACAGACAGGCCAACAGATTCAAGAGGAGCAACAGCTGTCTTAGAAAATTCCATCCATTAACAGAACACCTCTTTTGCCATTTGAAGAAAGATAAATAGTACCACGAATTGCCTTTTAAAGAAAGATAAATAATACCAAGAAAATCTTGAAGAATACTAGTACAGAAACAGTTCGAAAGAAAGTAGGAGAATGGAAAATGTCAAATGTATTGGAGGCTTATTCGGGGTTGAACTCGGGGTGTTACATCGTTGAGATGTCTATTGTGCTTTCACCTTTGAACAAGTTCATGTTCCTAAACTTTTTACCAAACACACCACCAATGCCTAAACTTTTTACGGAGCCAAACTAATCATTGAAGGACATTTCTCCTCACCTGAATACTAATTTATAAATTACTATCCTCAATATATACTTAAAATGCATTGGAAGATCGATTGTGAATTATATACAGATTTGTTGACAGACAATAGTTTTACCCAAACAACGATAAATTTCTGTACTACTGTTTCACAATTTACACATGATTAGTACATTGCATATTTAATAATCCATGAAAGAAGAAGCTAGAATTATTCAATGTCAACAATCCAATCCCTCTTGTCCTCAATATGCCTTTTTTGTATCCCTACAAGTGTTGAGTAAAGTTTCTTGCATACTAACTCTGACCTTATTTTATACTCGATCCTGCACAAACAAATTTCACTAATTAAACAAATATGTTCATTTGGCAGAACTAATTGTCATGTGATTATTTCAATATGTTGGGAGAAAGAAGATAATTATGTCTGTTTGGTCATGATTCATAGTAAAAATTAAAAAACAATAATTGGTTTTTTTGTTTCTAAAGTGAAAAATGAAATTTGAAAATAGCCCAAAGTTTCTGAAATAATAACAATAAAAATATCATGGCCAAATACAAAATGTTTTACCTTTGGCCTTTATAAGTGATACTACCTACAGGAGCAACACCAACTGCTGTTCCGGTGCAGAACACTTCATCTGCACTGATCAATTCATCAGCTTCGATTAAACGTTCTTCAACCTGTACAAAGTCAAGCTCCTGTAGTAGTTATTTTTCATTCCCAAATTTAATGACTGAGAAAAAGGCTTAAATATGACATCCAATTTTGAAAAAAAAAGGCTCATCTATGTCATTTTCATTTGGGAAAAGGTTTATCTATGCCATTATTTGCCAACTGAAATGAAATGGCACAGTCGAGTCAAACTTTTTCATGGATGAAATAGATGAATCTTTCTTTCTCTAAGTTCCATGACATATTTTGAGCATTTTCCCTAGTAACTAACTCCTTGCTTAAACCTGCAGGCAGCTAGTACCTGATATCCAAGATCAATTGCAATTTCCATAATGCTTTTTCTCGTCACTCCTTCAAGAATTGTTCCACATGCTATTGGAGTTGAAATCACCTTTCCCTAATAAGGTAAAAACAACACTTACAATAAGGATGGTGATTTTCTATTATCCAAAAAAATTAAACCATTTCGAGTATGAAAGTACCTTCACTAGAAAAATATTGCAGGACGAGACTTCTTCAATGTACTTCTTATTTACAGAATCAAGGTACAGTACATCCGAGAATCCTCTCTCCCTTGCATTCCTTATGGCGCGTAAAACCTGCACTAAAGAAAGAATTTAGTCACAACTACTTTTTTTATTTGATTACAAGCAAAAATACAAGGGAAAAAGTTTACCGGGGCATAGTTAGTAATGCTTTTGACTCCACCAGCTCCACCACGTGAGGCACGATGAAATTCTTCATCGACATACAAGTTCAATGGTGCTGTTCCTTCCTGTAATTGAGCAATTTTAGACTCTTTTTTTCTTCTTTCAAATCGATATATAAATAGACTTGTTATATAAATATTTATTTAAAGAAAGAATAAGAACCTTGAAATAGTTTCCAACAGGGCAAGCATAGACAAGGAAAGTGTACTCAGGTGCTGGAGCTAATCCGAGTATCGATCCACTTCCATAAAGCAGAGGCCTAATATAAAGTGAACCTTTTCCAGGAGGCGGAATCTGTTCTTGCTCAAATTAGTACTAATAAATATATGTTTATTGAATAGTTATTTATCTTAACATAAAATTCAAAAGTGATTGACTACCCATCGCTTATTAGCTAGAGCGGTTTGTTTGACAGCATCCACAAATTGATCTGTGGAAGGGTAGGGCATACACATTCTTTCAGCTCCAATCTGCATTCTAATGGCATTTTCACGAGGACGGAATAGAGAGAGGCCTCCATTATCTTGTCTATAAGCTTTTGTTCCTTCAAACAAACCCTGTTTCATGTAAATCATGAGTATTAATTTGTGAAACTTCTTTCTGAGTTTTAACAGTACGCTATATAATGAGTACTTGTCCATAGTTTAAGACACCAGCAGATGGACTGAGTTGAATATTGTCATAGCCATTAAGTTGGCCTTGTTTGAAATTTCCAGCAACATCACAACTTTTCGTTATGTACATATAATCAGTTGGTGTAAACCCGAATCCAAGCTTGTCCCAATCAACAACAGGGAAAACTTCATCGGCACTGACAATATAAAAAAAATTGTGAGTACAACTATGAGCAATAACACTTTGTTTGAATGGTTGTTACCTAATGAATACAGACTGATTATACAATAGAATATAACGGATAACAACCATCCAAACAAGGTGTATAATTAAGATTACATATTTCATATGAAAAACAATACTGTACCTGTAATTACAAGGTCTTAAAGATGTTGCAACCTGAGCTGTGTAGTACCTAAAATCAACCTACATTCAAGCAGGCAAACACCTCTGCTCACTTCATTTCATTACATTAACATGTACTTATATCATTTGTTTCTTGTTTACTCCTGAATATTTTTAAAAAATATGTTGAATTTTTTAAAAAATATTTTAAAATTTTGTGGTCTTAAATTAGTTGTGTATAATATCCTTAAGATGTATTTGGTTAAAGCTTATAAGCGCATTATGCATCTACTAAATTGCTAAACACCTAAAGTGCTTTATTAGACAAAATCGATCAAAAAAATCATAAGTTGATCCTTGACTTGTGATTTTCCAGAAAAACGAGTGAACATAGAATGTTTTTATAGTAGTGACAAAATTAATTTTATTCACAAAATAAATATGAAAAAATATAATTTTATTGATAAATAATATGAATACAATTCTATTTGTTTCCTCGTTTTTATTTATGGTTCTACTTTAAAATGCTCCTATTATTACTTAATGTGAATCACATTCCCGCACAATTAACATTCCTCAATTATTCAGAGTGAGAAAAGTTTTTTCCTAATAAATATATTGATTTTGTAAAAATATATTTTATTTTATCAAAAATATTACTATCTTAATCAATAAATAAGTAAAAAATAATCTTTTTTAAAAAATCTAATTTTATTGATCAAATAACCCACATGTACCTTTCGACTTATAGTAAATGTCATATATATCTAAAGTAAGCATTTGCTAATAATAATAATTATCATTAGGAAAATAAATGTTTTTAAAAAATAAAATAAAAATTTCTTATAAAAAAAACTTAGAATATTATAATAATAAGAAGAAGACAAGAAGTATAAGATAGAGGAAAGAAACTTTCTTGTTGCATAATATCAATAACAACATTATAGGCAAATATGTTGTTAATGACAACATTATTTTGGTTTGACAACTTTCTTGACGAGACATAATTCAATGAAATTTCATTATTTTCAGAATTTTGAACCTCCTCGGATATTTCATCAAGTGTTATGACTTGGGTCTCATCTTGAGAAATTTCTTTCAACCCATGATCACCTTGATCATTTATTCCTTTTCTCTTTTGAGGATTTTTATCCTTGGAACCAATTGGTCTACCACGTTTCAAATGTGGCTAGACTCATTTGCCTTAATTATTTATTTAGTCAGGATATCAACTCGAACTGAAGCATTAGCAGCTGGAATATGAGGTTTAGTAATTCTTGAAAGATTAGTAAAAACATCTGGCAACTAATTCACAATATTCTGTAATTATATTATTCTTTGATATTCTTACTCACATTGATTTGTTCGAGGATCTAGAGGAGATAGAGATGATAAATTTCAATCTATCTCTTTTCCCAACTGCTTATGTTCTCCTCTAATGTTGGGTATACTAATTCATCAAAATGACAACCAGCAAATCTTGCCTTAAATAAATCTCCAGTCATAGGCTCCAAATATTTTATGATTGAAGGAAATTCATACCCAACATATATCTCCAACCTTCTTTGGGGCCCCATGTTTGTGTATTATGGTGGAGTAATTGGAACACACACCACACATCCAAAAATTCTAAGATGAGAAATGTTTGGCTCTTGACCAAAAGCCAATTGTAATGGGGAGAATTCATGATAATTGGTCGGCCTTATGCGCATAAGTGCTGCTGCATGCAAAATAACATGACCCACATAGACACAGATAACTTTGTTCTCATTAGTAATGGTTTAGCTATCAATTGCAGACGTTTTATCAATGATTCTTCTAGACGGTTCTGAGTGTGAACATGTGCAACTGGATGTTCAATTGGTATACCATTAGTCATACAATAATCATTAAATGCCCGAGATGTAAACTCACCAGCATTATTTCGACGGACTGTCCTTATTGTATAGTCTGAAAATTGTGCTTTCAATATTATCATTTGAGCCAACAATCTCGCAAAAGTCATGTTGCGAGTTGATAATAAACACACATGTGACCATCTTGTTGAAGCATCTATCAAGATCATATAATATTTAAAGGGTCCACATGCAGGTTGAATTGGTCCAAATATATCACCCTGTATATGTTCCAGAAACGCAGGGAATTCAATTTTTACCTCAACTGTTGATGGTTTAATGATCAACTTTCCTTGAGAACAAGCAACACAAGAGAATTCCTTTGATTGAAGGATATTTGGACTCTTTAAGGTGTGCCCACGTGAATTCTCAATGATTTTGTGCATCATATTAAATCCGGGATGGCCCAACCGGTCATACCAAATAATAAAATCATTAAAATTAGTAAACCTTTTGTTTACTACGACATGTGATTCAACTGTACTTATACTTGTATAGTAGAACCTAGAAGAAAATGCACGTAATTTTTCATGCACAATTTTCTTCTCTACATTAATTGTAGTAATGTAAAGGCATTCATCCTTTCCTTCATTAGTCGTCTCAACGTGATAGCCATTTTGGCGAATTACTTTGAAACTTAATAAGTTTCTTTGTGACTTACTACGGTATAATGCATTATAAATGTCCAATATTGTCTCTCCAGGTTGTAATAAGGTCGCTCTTCCAGAGCTCTCAATTAATTTTGTACTACCTGATATTGTGTTGACATATGTCATTTTCATAACCAAATTAGAAAAGTATTTCTTTTCTTTTCTTTTAATATTGTATGTGTAGTAGCACTATGAAAAAGGTATACATCTCCATTACTCATCTTGAATCCAACTGACAATTGGAGATTTCTATGCAAGTAGCAAATTCGTACTGATAACGTTTATAAAGAAAACTCAGAATATTATAATAATAATAAGAAGAAGACAAGAAGTATAAGATAAAGGAGATAAATTTTCTTATTCAAGTGTGTTTTTCAAATGGTGAGTGATTCTCTACTTACTCCAAAAGTCAATTAATAGATACATAATTATCTTGAAGTTCTTATCACCTTGTAAGCACCTATACATGAATCTATTTAATTGTGAATAAATCTAATGGATAATCCACATATACTATACAATAGATTTATAACAAAATTCATTTTAGAAAAAGAATATTTTTGACCTATTTAATTGTAATACTAAGAACATTTTTAACCAAACAAAATAATTTCTAAATCAAACTATTAAAAGTAGCTATTTTTATTTAATTTCACATAACTCAACTACTTTTTTTACTCTACTACGTATTAAGAAATAATAACATTCGTCGTCTCTTTCTGTTTTACCGAGTTATCAATTATTAATTTCAAATTAAGAATATGTATTCAATTAGGACTAAATGAAAAGAACGCGCTCTTACATTAAATATTGATGATGTGGTTTTTATTTTCATGATTTGTATGATTGAACTTCTAATAAATCTAATATGTAAATTTTCATATCATTTGAGTATGTATTATTATTATTTAAAATTATATAACTTAAAAAGATTAAAATATGAAACCAGTAAAGGTTTCAATTCTAATTTTGTATTTGCTGGCAGAACTTATGGACATAGGTATTTAAATTTAAAAATGTTTGGGAAGCGCGATAAGTGAACAATATTTCAATACTTGTTGGATTATACAAGCAAAAAAGTGTTTTTTGGGCATATTCGTCAATAATTTTTCCTATATGATTAATGTGTGCTCGGACTCCATTAGTATCTTTTTTATTATTTTATGCGTTCAATAATAATTCTTCTTCTGATATTGAGCAAGAACTTATTTCTTTTTTTTTTTTAAAAAAGCCTCTCAGCTTATAAGGATATACATTTCACCCAATATCCAATATACGTTGAAGCTTTATTAAATACAGATCTACTAAAATTTAAATTCTACTGAAGACGAAGTTAATAAAGGAGCTATATTGTGGATTAATGCCATAGAAAAAGGAAAAAATCTATTAAAAGAGAAATTATATGATAATATTCGAAAAAATTAATTTTATAATCTTAACTCTCTGAGTACTAGAGAAATATAATATAATTATAAATTAATGATAAAAAATGGCTCAATATTCAAAGAATATTTTAATGAACCAAAAATTATACTCAGTTTTATAATAACATATGTAGATATAATTGTTATGAACTTCATACATAATTATAAGCTAATAATTTACATGATACGTAAACAAAGGGGCAAAATACTATTGCGCAAAGTTAATTTACAGATATTCTTGACATGAGAAATCACTAACTTTTGAGTGTAAAACTTTATTTGTATGTTGAGACCAAAAACAAAAAAGAAAAAAAAAGATTTATTGGGATGAGAGTATAGTTCACCTGCCGGCGCAGAGATGAAAATTCAAACAATTTACGAATGGATGCAGGTGCGGCCCTTTGAATCATATTTAATTTCCACAACAAACAAATAACTTAATAATCAAACGATTTGAAATTCCAAAGTTGGGATAAGGATATATACTTCTCACACCTAACATTTTCTTTCATCATTTATATAGGAGGTAGTTAGAGGCTCAAGCACGCATATTTTTCGTATTTCAAAAATAAAATAAAATCTTTTTATACTTTATTTTAATAAGTCTATATAGAAATTTATGAGATTTATAGCTAATCATTTATATCATTGACATATTTGAAAATCATAAATAAAATATAATTTTATTTATTTATTTATTAAAATATTTGAAAATTTTTTATAAACAAATATGAATACTTTCAAAATGAAATAATTGCAAAAGGCGATGTAGCAAAATTTTTTTATCAAGGTATATATCATCATTTTAGATTTCACATCCTTTATAAGCTAGGTCAGATTATAGTTGTATCTTTATGTAATATTCTCTAACAGTAAATTTCAATAAATGAACATAACTTGATTGTTTTTATTAATTAAATTGGTCAATGAACATGAACTAATTATTTAGGTTTTTTACGTGGTTAAAATTCATATTTACAATGTTAAAAATAATTATCAAGGGTAAAATAGGATGAATAATTTTATTTATCTATTGATTTTATAAAATGACAAATATTAGAGAACATTTATTTTTAGTAAATACGATATACAAATAGAAACGAAAGTAGTAAAATGAATAACTAATTTGGAAAAACTAATTTTAGGAATATCATATTAGTTTTATTTACTTTTACTTGTTGCTTATTTCTTAAATAGTTGTTCATATTTACTTATCACTTTTGATATATCAAAAAAGTATTAACATTTTTTTTATGTTTTACCCTTACCTTTAAACATTATCTTTTTTTCGCAATACCAAACATAATTAGCAGAAATAGTATGGTACAATATGCATTAGCAGTTTTTAGAAAAGAAGAATAAATCAAATTAAACCGTAATAAATAAAAATAAATCATGAAAGTAAGAAATTCGCAAACAATTACAAATAGCATTAAAAAAAACTATGAATAAATGCGAATATGCGGGCAATACAAATTTTTCCTCACCAATATTATCTATGATAAGGACCAGAAGGGGATGATATCGATGATGGATAGAACACGTAAAGTAGGAGTTATAAAGAGGATATGCGTCAACTTTTTAAGATTCCACAATCAAAAACGATAAAAAGTAAAAGTTTGATTCAAAAGCTGACCTGGTTGTACTCATCCTTTCAGAGCCTACTAATTAATTCCTAGCAATTATTTTATTTTCTTAATCGTTTCCCACTTTCTTATCCCATTAGTCTTTTACCATTTTTAAAATATAGATAAAAAATATGTCTTTTAATTTAATTTATATTCTCTAATTTTAAATATGTATAAATAAATACTTAAATTTATATAAAATTAAGTAAATAAATAAATATTTCTTATAATATTATTGTTGATGATAAGATTTTATTCATAAATTCGTAATAAATTAATGATTAGTAAAATTAGATTAATATTTTAAGTTAAAATTATATGACTTAAATAAAGTATATAAATTACATTTGGGTCAGTCTATTAACTTGTCAATATTAGTTCAATTTATGCTCTTTAAGCCCATGGCCTCTAAAATTACTTGAAGACCAAGATATCTTCAAACTTTAGCTTACAACTATATAAAAGAGTTTCAAAAGACCAAAAAAAAGAAGAAGAGAAATATATAGAAAAACTTTGCTCTTTTGTGGCAATCCATAAATTTATGCTCTTTAAGCCCATGGCATCTAAAATTACTTGAAGACCAAGATATCTTCAAACTTTAGCTTACAACTATATAAAAGAGTTTCAAAAGACCAAAAAAAAAAAAGAAGAAGAGAAATATATAGAAAAACTTTGCTCTTTTGTGGCAATCCATAAACCTTCCAAGTTCAAAGAATTCTATGTCTCCAATTTGATATCCGCAAGTTCTCATAGCTCTGTGATTGAGATCAGTGTGTGGCTTCGGCATTAGTAGGGAAATTTGAACAAGTATTGCATCGATTCAAGAACAAAATAAAGATCTGGAATTGATAATCATGAGGAGATGAATAAGACGATTACATTTTTTTCATTAGATTTTATAAAGATTGTAACCTTACATAAATTATTGAAGTATATATTTCATTGTTCATCACTACTTTCCTTTTTTGATTGTTGTTTTTCTGGAAACTTAATTAGTTATAAATTGGCCCACCAATTAAGACAATCTTTACCTCTCATCTCTTCTCTTAAAAAAATCAAAGTTTAAGAACATTGAGATTTCTTCGAAAAAGGTTAACCCTAAATCTCATCTTCATCTATATCAGCATCCACCAAAACAACTGTATCAAAATTATATCTTAAATTTTTTAAAAATATCAATGTGATCTTAATGAATATCAACTTTGAATCCCGTGCTTTGGAGGCTATTGCCTCCACACATGGCTTGAAAATTGTCATGGAATTGTGGCCATATTAGATGGAATAGAGTCGTAATTAGTGCGGGGACAACAAGTGCATCAATCTCTGTATAAGACATCTCATGTTCTCGATTTATCTTCTCCAAAAGAAAAAAAATATCCTCTTCGTATATCCTAGATGAAAGAACAACATTGCTAAGGTAGTAAAAATAACTCTGAATCGACTAAGACTGTCACAAGAACACCATCATTAATCTAAAGATCACTTCATTCTGAAAGATGATAATCTCTTGAGCACTAGATCTGCTCCGATCTTTCCTTATGTCACTTACGAAATCAGCTCTATTCGAGTGAGGTTTCATATACGGTGAGTTTACTGTATTTATGATGCATTTCACTTAGAATTTTTGTGTCTTTGGTTATTTGGCATTAGAAATAATGTTTTGTGTAATTTTTTGCAGGAAATAGGCTTGGATGCAGTTCATGGAGATGAGAGCTTAAAAAGTGCAAAAGTAGCCAAGCACAGTCCTTAGGTCCAATGACACGCTGTGGATAGGAAATCGTAGGTCCTCGTTTGGAAATTGAGTTTCAGTACTCAAGACCACGGACTGACAGGAGGATAGTAGTCTAATCTACAGACCGTAGGTGGGAAAGCGTAGGTTGAAGATCAAGGAAGTCTAATCAAGTGTGGGAGCACAGATGCATCGACGGATCATAGGTTGACCCACATGCCGTCCTTCACACCCATCGACTGAAGATTAGAGAAAGTTAAATTTCTAGTACTGATTTTATTTTTAAGTGTTGGACCACGAAGGGTATCCTATTGACCGTAGGTCGACCCACAGTCCGTAGGTTGTGCCTTTGACAAAAGTTGCGCCTGAGCAATTCTATTTCCTTATTTTGTTTCCTGTTTAAGTTAGCATTTGTTTTCTATAAATAGGAGTCGTAATCCTCCTTTTTTGGGGGTTAGACATTATTGTAAACTTCTAGTTTTAGTTCTTTGGGAATTAAGTTAAAAAATTAGAAATTAAATTTTTGAATTTTATTTGATACAATTTTCACTTTGAATTTTAATTCTAGGGGTTCTCATCTATTCTTAATGTAAGTTCATGAATTATTTTAACCTAATTATGAATTGTGAAATCCAGCATGCGTAGTTAAATCCACAACTAGGGTTGTGAAAATCATCAGCAATTAACAACATATGAATAATAATTATGTAATTTTTAAATAATATTTATGCATATATTGTTAATCTTTTCATTAAAAAGTCTTTCTAATGGTGCGCAACTTTAGAAGTCGCCTCATTCCTACTTGCCAGACCAAGGAGGTAATGAATGACAAAAGGAATAAAAAAAAATAGAGATTTAGTGGATGCAATCTAATAGTTTGATGTCAATTGTTGTGAGGATGAAAATTAAACTACATTGATATGACAACTAAGTAATGCGTAATGTGTCTAGAATGCCTACAATTAGACCGGGTTCACACGGATTGATGCGCGTAGAACTAGACTTTTGAACCCTTTCAACAACCAAGTCGACCAACTTGGTGATTTAGTTGAGCTAGGAAAGTGTGGGTCGAGCCATGTAGGGCACCCGAATATGAAGATCTACCCGGATGAGTCTTAACTGGACTTAAAAATGGTTAATCTTAAGTTTGGAGGGTCTAGGCATAAAATTGTCTTTTTCCATGCTAAGGGTAGTATTGTAATTAACCTAAATATTTAATTATTAATTAATTAATATGGAGGAAGGAGGTGCAATTTGGGTAGAAAGGGCCGAAATTGGCTTTTTGAGTGAAATCTTGCTCCTCCCGGGTTCGAACCTAGGTGGGAGCAATGATTTAATTAGATTATTTTATTTCGTGAATTAAATTAATTAATTAATATTTAATTTCTGATTAAAAAATGGAAAAAATCAGATTTTTTTATTTATTAATTAAAATAATTAATCTTAATTTGACTAAGTCTCTCCCTAATCACCTTATCCAAAGCCAACACACCCACATGTTTCTCACCATCTTTCTCTCAAGCTCACGCTCAACTCTCGGTAAAACAAGAGAACGAACAGGACAAAAAGGAAAACATAAAGTTCATCCTGAACTTGAACGCTCAAACTCAAAAAAAATAAAAAAAAATATGGCAAAACAAGCTTAAAAATGAAAAGTAAAAATCAATTTCTCGATGGATGTTGCTTATGGTTTCGGTGGTGAGGCGCTGGCTTAGTGGGGAAATAGGCAGCACGTTGAATCACTTTTGAATAACTTCAGATATGGGTTTCTTCCTCTTGGTCCCTTTCCGAAGAGACCCTTATGGCTCAAATGAATCTACTCGAAAACTAGGGTTGTTTCCCGTTGCATGTCCCTGTCACTAGCTCCCTATAATCTTAGGTTGGGTATGCTTGCTGGTAGAATTTAGGGATACTGTGTTTGTGGTGATGATCTCGTTTCGAGTATGTGTTCATGATTACGTGCTTACGTTTTTTGTCTTTTGGAAATATGAATGTAGACACGTATGTAAGTGTGCAAGATTGTGACCATGACTTTGAGTCTCTGTTTGATCATGTTTATATCATAGAGATCACTCGTGTTTTATGTGCAATTAGATGTTCTTAAATCATGATGTTCACATGGTTGAAATGCTATGAATTCTAGTTAAAACAAATGACTAAATTATACCTTTAACTTGTCTTAAGAACCCTAACGAACGACTAAGAAAGAGGTGCCCAAATG